TAACTAACTAAAAAATTTAAGTATTAATTAAAATTAATGTATTGATCTCAAGTTATTAATTTATCTCCAGAGAAAGGGCTTTTTTACAAATAAAAGGTCGTAATKCTKCCTCAAGACTTCAGCTCTCAAARCTRTCCAGGGCATTTAGTGCCTGGCGAGGTRAGCTYATTGATGAAGRTAACAACAGGGTTYGTGCTAATCCTTGAAATCCTTGAARAGTCCTRGAATTTTGTAKTGAAAATGTACCATATGTAGCACAATTCTGTAAAAAACAAGTAATRAATTATTGGTTGTAATTTTTATGATAATATGGGATTGCTATAATATGTTAGCAGTAATTACATTTTGTAATTAGTAAGTAGCATTTCACGCTTTTATTAAAAGCGCCCAGACTAGTCTTACTTAATATAACTTTTGTAAAACATTAAGCAACTTTTCTTTCAAGGTTTCATACGAGAAATTCGACATGATAGRCTCAAGGAACGTGCTRAAAAGCTTMAAATCTTGTCCTTGTATTTCAAAAAATGGACAGAGAGTTATGAAATTCAAGTTGAAGCTAAAGAAAAAGCAAGAGGATTGCAGGTAACATTCTAATAAAATAACTTTAAATACTTTAAGTACGTACACTGTATGTTGTGTCTAGCTATTGATTAATTTTATTGATGTCAAAACATTCTTGTACCCAAAAAACGCTCTAGCTCAGCTTCCTAACAGAAAACAGATGCAAACGTAATGTGCCATTCATATTTTATATTTTCCAGGCACGTAAAGTGTTACTTGTACGCTGGGTGTTCAAATATTGGCAGCGAGCAGCAGAGTCTAAAAGAGAGCATCTTCTCTCTATTGAGGAGCAAGTTAAATYGAAGCTTAGACATCTAAAGCTAAGAAGGTGCATGAATGTGTGGTTGAGATGGTACACAGTTGCTGATATTGTAAGGTTAGTTTGTATCAGCTCAAAATAACAACTTATTCCAAACATTTCTTCCCTGCTAGCAGAGACTTCTGATATGGGTATGATATTGGTTCGACATGGTTTCGAACTCATAACAGTACGGTCACGATATAAATGCAAATCTGTTCTTTACGTTACCCACTCACACGAATTCGGCGATGCACATTTGTAGTTCCCAACAAGAGAGACTCTGCTAGAAGGAAAAAGATTTATTAATGACAGTTTCAAGGATTTCATTAATTAAAAATTAAAAGTAGCCAAATGACAACGGTATATGAATCTTGAAGGGACACAAGTACTGCAAGTGATATGTGGCAAAAGTAGCTGACCCAATGTTCAAAATAGACGCTGGATTTCACCAGTTGGCAGCTTCTAATGAAATTCCTGCATTCTTTATAAATAATAAATAATATTAAATGAACGCTTTTATAGTATTTATTCATGCCTGCTCTAAGTGTTGTAGCTAAACATATTGTTATAAAGGAAAGGCTAGGATGAATAAAAGAGTTTTTTGGATTTGCCCTTTTGTAATCARAGTGCTTTTTCCATCATACAGAACTCACCAAGTAACACGCCAACAGCAACTCATGCATAAAGTCTTTCTTGCCTGGTCAGGTGTTATCAAAGAAGAGCTGAACGCCCAACTCAACCGCTTTAGCAACAATCTTGCACTYGACTGTTCCATTGGGTCAGCTTCAGCATCACAGCTTTTTCGATCTGGAACACTTGATTCCAATGGGGGATCATTCCTCCGTTCAACACTGGACTCCACCTTAGGCTCGCAAATGAGGTCAACTATGGAGTCTTCATTGTCAGACTATTTGTCTTCTGGATATTGGACAACACGCAGRGGTTCTGGAAGTGTGTTTCCAGTGCGAAGTCCCGGTGTTAGTCAAAGGGATGATGATGTAAGTGCTCTTGCAATGCATTGTGTTCTTTGAATGCACAATGCAGTATTGCATTACTCCGTGTAAATACACTCCAGTTAACTCTCGCTATTGTGGACACTCATGGGACAGTAATTTATTGTCCAAAGTAACAAGAGTCCATAGTAATGGAGTAACTTTCAGTCATTCCAGTAATACAGCACTGATTGAAACCTGCTTTTTGATTGCTGCTAAAGTACAGTAGCTCTATTGTTAGGCTGTGTTTTGTTTTATTGTCTGGAAGATATATCTATTGTTTGTCCATTGTTTTCTCAACCTATCATGAGTGTTTTGGACATGATATCTATTATATTTTAAAAGGTTTATTAGTTTTGATAAGCCCCCTTGGGGTATATAACATACGCCCTAAATAGACAACAATATTATAATTAGATTTAGTTGACACTGAACTTTTAGGATGAAAAGAACACACATTTGTAAGTATATGTAATCTCCATTTTCTCCTTTTTTCTAATCTTTTCATGTAAGTAATAATTTTGTAATCTGTTTCAGTTGACCTTCTTGTATAGTTCAATCTATTCACTATTAAATGGGTTAAGAATCTGGTGCAAAAATTGTGGTCGAATCAATTCATTGTGATTTGACCACATTCTAATCTGTACTGACTGGCCGATCATTTCTTTGTACTTTTTACCATGGATGCTGTATTTTCTGTTGGCACTATCAAGGTGTCTGT